TTTTGTGATTTCCAATGAAATTATTGTCAGAGTTTTTAGAAGACTTTACAAAATTTTAAATTTAAATGAAAAATTTTCGAGTTTTCAGTGGAAATCAAAATTTGTTATTGTTTTTTATGATTTTTTTTTTCAATTAATGAAAAAATTATGAATTTTTTTCAATTTTTTCATCTAAACTTTTATTATTTTTACTAATTAATGATTATTTTGTGATTTCCAATGAAATTATTGTCAGAGTTTTTAGAAGACTTTACAAAATTTTAAATTTAAATGAAAAATTTTCGAATAATTTCATTGGAAATCACAAAATAATCATTAATTAGTAAAAATAATAAAAGTTTAGATGAAAAATTTGGAAAAAAAATCTTAACAATACAAAAGAATTTCTTTTTCAATTATAAATTTTAAGATTTAATCTAATTAGAAGTAAAGAAAATGTAGAATTATAATCAATTTCGCTAAAATCCTTCTAAAAGTTAAAGTAAAAATTGAAACTTGTTGAAAATACAATAAACTTTTGATCATTTTTCTTGCTCTAATTTTTGGTAAAAAAAAATCTAAATTGAATTTAATTTGCGTTTTTTTTTGTTGGTTGGTGCGACTCACCGTACATGCTGTATCTCCTGTAAATAAATTTCTGCAATCCTTTTGATAGCGTGCAAGGATTAACGTGAGTAAATTCTGTTTAAATTGAAGGAATTGAAGCGAGAGCTCTTTGCCGCCGGCGATCTTACCTTCCGGTTCCGCGCTCGTTGATATCAGGACAGTGTAATCCTGGGAGCCCATGTCGTTGTAAGCCGTCAAGATGAACTGCGTCTCCGTGTCCTGCTTGTTGATCGCGGCTATCCTCAAATTTGCCACGTAGTGTCCACGACCCTAATCGCAACAACAACAACAGAAAACCATTAGAATCTAACTCTCAAAGAATAGATCTGCAGAAGTAGTACCAAGTCTTGGGCAGATTCCGCCTCGATCCTTCCGGTGTTGTCGATGGTTCCTTCGCGGATCTTCTGGCCACGGATTTCCCATTCGATCTGCGGTTTGGGATTCGCGTCGATTTCGATCGAGATCATACCTGGTTTTCCCAGCTCAAAGCCGAACTTGTCGATTGGGTTTGTCAATGGGATCGGAGCGTCTGCAGAGAAAGAAGAAACACGTTAAATTTTGGGAATTTTCGCAGAGATGAGTTTGATAATTACATTTTACGTCCAGTTGGCGGGAGGCGATGCTCTCCTCCGGAAGGGCCGGATGCGACGCGACGCACTTGAGTAGTTTTCCGTTGTCGCTGGGCTGCAAAGTCCTTGTCAGATTCTGAACCTTGGAGTGAAGATCCTCTTTGGCAAAGTCGATGATCGTGGGCATGCTGAGGCCATCTCCAACGATAGGCTCATCATCTACAAAACAATATTTGTAATTTCAGGATATAATTGATATAGTCAAGAATATAGTCAGGATATAGTTAGGATAAATTTTACCTAAATACCAGCTGATGTTAGCAACTGGTCTTCCATCTCGCACAACGCAGCTGGCTTGAAGCACGTCGTGTATCTTGTAGACCCTCAAGGAATCCGTGCCTCTGCTCAAATCCAATTCCGGAGATTTAGGAGCTTCTAAACATCGATACAAATTATAAACCTAAAAAAAAAACTTATCCAAAAAACTTACTCGCTACAGTCAATTGAACGCTGTCTATGGCTTCCTGCGATTCCGTCTCCAAACCTAGGTAGCATTTGATCTTGCCGTTGTCCTCCTCGGTGACTTGCTCTATGGTGAACCCGCACTGTCCGGCGCTCAGTCCGGCCCCGTAATACGTGACCTGTACATAATAATTAAGGTAATCAGGGTTCAACGCGATGTAATCTTGATGACTTACTCTGTTGCGTGTTTGGGAGAGTTTGGTGTTCAGATTGAAGGAACGCGAGCCGGGTAATTCCACGCGACAATACTGCAACGGAACGCCGACCCTGCACAGGAAGGACACGTTCCTTCCGGGAAGGACCACCGCCTCCTTCGGACTTACGTCCACCATAATCGAAAGACATCCTGAAACACAAATAAAAATATTAGACTTGAATTTCTTAATTAATTTGTAAAGTTACATCTGTCATCAGATATAAAATGTCATTTAGTTTGTAAACCTCAAGAAAATAATTCCCTACTATAGTTGGTATTAGTTATTTTTAATTGTCATCGAACTGTCAGGATAATCAAAGAGTTTCAAAATGAAGATGTTAATTATTGAAAAACTTAACAAACAAAAATGATCCGAAGTATAAATCTGCATAGACAATGCAATCTTCTAGTAATTGTTTCAGTTTGAAGTTGGTATTAGTTATTTTTAATTGTCATCGAACTGTCAGATATAATCAAAGCGTCTCAAAATGAAGATGGATGTTAACAAATTATTGAAAAACTTAACAAACAAAAATGTTACTAATTGTGTTTCTTAAACAATCAAAATAAATTGATAATTACTCATAGATGAAAAGAATAATTAGTAAATCTTTGTATTAATTTTAGAAATTTTATATTTTATTCAAGTGAATCTACGATGTATCAACATTCGTATAACTTGGACAAAAAAAAATCCCCTAACATTAGGAACTAACATAAATTTGTTGAAGTTGGTACAAAGTTCTGTCATTAATTATGGAATTGTAGTAGTCTTACAAATGTGTCAGTTTTATAGAATACAAATTTCAAGAAACTTATATTAATTAATATACAAGCCAAAGATTGAGTGAGTAATTTTTAATTAATAGAAGTTAATTTTTGCTTATTTAAAAAAAAACAATCGTTAAATGTTGAAGATTATCAAGTTTTTTTATAGATTAATTCTTTGACAAGCGAATGCTTCGATCCGAAGTATTTGAAGTTGGTATTAGTTATTTTTAATTGTCATCGAACTGTCAGATATAATCAAAGCGTCTCAAAATGAAGATGGATGTTAACACATTATTGAAAAACTTAACAAACAAAAATCTTACTAATTGTGTTTCTTAAACAATTAAAAGAATTAGATAATTACTCATAGATGAGAAGAATAATTAGTAAATCTTTGTATTAATTTTATAAATTTTATATTTTATTCAAGTGAATCAACATTCAACTTGGACAAAAAAAAATCCCCTAACATTAGGAACTAACATAAATTTATTGAAGTTGGTACAAAGTGCTGTCATTAATTATGGAATTGTAGTAGTCTTACAAATGTGTCAGTTTTATAGAATACAAATTTCAAGAAGATTATATTAATTAATATACAACCCAAAGATTGTGTGAGTAATTTTTAATTAATAGATGTTAATTTTTGCTTATTTAAAAAAAACAATCGTTAAATGTTGAAGATTATCAAGTTTTTATAGATTAATTCTTTGACAAGCTGTCATAAGATTTAAAATGTCATTTAGTTTGTAAACCTCAAGAAAATAATTCCCTACTAAAGTTGGTATTAGTTATTTTTAATTGTCATCGAACTGTCAGGATAATCAAAGCGTCTCAAAATGAAGATGGATGTTAACAAATTATTGAAAAACTTAACAAACAGAAATTTTATTCAACTGAATCTACGATGTATCAACATTCGTATAACTTGGACAAAAAAAAATCCCCTACCATTAGGAACTAACATAAATTTGTTGAAGTTGGTACAAAGTGCTGTCATTAATTATGGAATT